TTTCCACTTCTGTAACACATCATGCGGCAAAGAATCATCCCAGCCAACATGTCTTCTGCTTAGGTCTTGTAAAATCCCCTTTGCGACCAAACAACTGGTGCCAAAAAGCCAAGAGGATCGTAGATGGAACTTATGATGGACAAGATTCCTCGTCTTGTCAGAGGTCTATTTTTGAGAATGATCTTGAATTTTAGCAGGTCTGATTGTACACACCACTGTACACCCAACACACGTTCCACAGGTAGATCATCATTTTCCATATCCAGGTTCTTCACCTCAATGGATCTTTCATGCTGTGGTATTGCAGTAAGAACACTGCGTCGGTTGCTTATCCATTTGAGAAGTTGAAATCCACCTTTCTTGCACAAATCACGAAGTCCTTGATATAATGACACAGCTTCTTCTTCTGTGCTCACAGAAACCAAACAGTCATCCACATAAAAATTGTGAAGCACAGCATCTATAACATTAGATGGAAACAGTTGTATGTTATCCTCTGCACACCTTCTCAATGCAAAACATGCACAGTTTGGAGATGATGTAGCTCCAAAAGGATGTGCAACCATTCGGTATTCCACCAGCTGCTGCTCATACTCTCCATTCGGCCACCAGAGAAATCTCAACAGATCCGAGTCAGATGGTGGTACTCGGACCTGATGAAACATGGCCTCAATGTCTGCTGTTATAACAACAGGTTCCTTTCTGAATCTGATGATGACACCAACCAATGAACTGGTGAGGTTTGGACCTTGTAAGAGTTGAGTGTTTAAAGATGTTCCTCCAAATGTAGCACCACAATCAAACACAACTCTTATCTTCTTCTTGTGAGGATGATATACTCCATGATGTGGTATATGCCAAACCTTCTCATCACACCGTTCAAGATTTTCAACTGGTACTTTCTCAGCATAGCCCTTGGAAATTATATCATTCATGAAGTTGGTATAGTCAGAAAGAAATTGATGGTTTTTAGTAAACTTCCTTCTGAGATTCAAAATGCGTTGTTCTGCCATTTTCCTGTTATTAGGCATTTTCAGATCTTTCTGTCTCAGAGGTAGAGCAATGGTGTAACGTCCATCTTTCAGCTCAATTGATTCTGTAACCCGCTCCATGAACTGAATATCTTCTCTGGACCATCCAGGTTGTTCATCTTGAGGACATTCAGGAAAATCGACCTTCAGTTGTTGTTGCCACAAGTCCTCCAGTCTTGTCACCGAAATCCTGTTAACAGTAACAGTTGTTTGTAGCTCTCTTGTGTCAACATCACAGTCTCCTCTGAGAGGTCCATTTACTGTCCATCCAAGAATCGTTTTAACTGCATATGGTCCTCCATTTTGACTCCGAATGACATCCCATGGCTCAAGTACTTTAGGCACATTGGTTCCAATGAGCAAATCAACTCCTGAATTTATTTCAGTGATCTTCAAATTTTTCAGATGTGGCCATCTTTCGATGTCTTCTTGGTGAGGAATGTTGTTATAATGAACAGGCATGTTTCTCTGTGTGAATAAATCAGGTAATTCACAAAAGATGTCTTCATTCAGCCCAGCAATCTCCAAATCTGACACAATGTTGCTTTCAACCACCTTTTCTTGACCCATTGTTCGTAAAAGGATGCTTGTATGTCTCCCAGTGACATATAATTTGTTCATCAATTCTTCAGTACAGAATGATGCAGAGCTTCCAGGATCCAAAAAAGCATATGTTATTATTGTCTTTTGGCTTTTTGTAGACTTCACTCTGACTGGTAAAATAGAGAGAGTACAACTGAGATCACCGGCCCCAGTTAGACCACTGGATTGGGCAGAAACGGAGGCACTTCCACTTGTTGTCTCCACTTCCTTCTTCTTATGAACTGGAACAATTTCCTTTTCTTTAGAAAAGACATGTAACATGGTGGGATGTCTTAAGCTACACACTTTACAGTAGTGTCGCCTTTTACAATCTTTGCTGATGTGCCCAGTGCATAAACAGCCAAAACACACCCCATTTTCTTTCAAAAATGTCAATTTCTCCACATTTGTCCTCCTTTCCAGTAGAGGGCATGTGTCCAAGGAATGTCCAGCTTCACAAAACAAACAACTCCTTTTAACAGTTGTCTCCTGTCTTTTCTTTACTTCAAGGTCAGCTTTCTTCTGCATATCTCCAACAATAGTAGCGAAACTACTTCCTTTTATCTTTGATCGCTGTTGTGATTTATAGATTCCAACATCCTTCTTTGGTCGAGATAAAGAATCTTGAATATCACCAAAAAGTGGATCACTGGCAATCTTCACTTGCCTTTCTACAAACTGAACAATGTCACTGAAAATTACTCTTCTATTAAACTTCTCCTGTAAATCACACACATCATTTCTCCATCTGTCCCGCAGTTTAAAGGGCAGTTTTTTGATAATTGTTTGCATATTAGCAGGAACGTCCAACTCATGCATACATCCATTGTTTTCCATCACATTGCAGCATTCCCTGAGCAGAAAGCTGAATGCTTGTAAAGCCTTTGCATCCTCTGCTTGCAAAGCAGGCCATGATAAGACCTTATTCATGTATGCAGCAATTATCTTCAATGAACAACCGAAATGCTCTTGAAGCAAAGCTTTAGCTTTAGCATATCCAGAATCATCAGGCATATGAACACAGCTTCTTACTAAGTCATGAGGCTGACCTCTGGTATACTGCTCCAAGAAGTATAAACAGTCTTTGGCACTGTGCGCCTTTGTTTCAATACTGTGTTCAAACGCTGTCATGAATGTCTTAAATTGGAGTGGATCACCATCAAATATTGGTATGTCCCGTTTTGGCAGAAAAAATAAAGATTGTTGATTTACAAGCAAGCTTGTAATTTCATTCTGTCTCTCCAAAACACTTAACAGTTGTTTATTTTCATCAACTGGCAATACATTTTTATATTGTGATGGTTGTAACTGTACTTGATGAAACATTTCTTGTGTTGGAACTTCAACTGGTGCTGTTTTTATCTTCACCTGGTCAGTCAATGTGTCTGAAATTTGTTTAACCTTTGTGTCTTTAGGTCGTGCACCCAAATAAGAATATAACTGAAAGTCTGGAGCTTTATTATGACAATCAGTTCCAGCTGCTGTAGGTACAAATGTATCTGCATCAACATTCAACATTGGAGATCTTTTATTTTCATGCTCCAAATATGAATTCATGCCATCAGACTTATTCTGTGCAGCACTAGATACTTGAGAACAGACAGAGCCCTGGAACACTTTAACTTTAGCCATTGAGGCTGCAATTTCAATCTCCAAATCCAGTTCTTCTTTCTTTTTTCTTAGCTGTTCCTCCTGTTCCTCTAAAGCATGTTTCTGTTTCAACAGTTTGTGTCGTGCCTTTAATGCAGCCATATCTGCTTCTGCTTTAACACGAGCTGAAGCTGTAGAAGACAGAGAGGACTTAATTCTTGATGAACGACTTCCTCTAGACTTTCTGCTATCAACATTAGAAACACTGTCACTTGGCTTGATATCATCCACATCATCAGCATTGTCAACACACTGTAAATGCTGAGAAACTAAAGGTGCATTAAGCTCATTATTCACACAAGGTTCAAAACTGGACAATTGAGCCTGATTGAAATCAGCTTCTCCACCCATTTGAGCTGCATTGTTGATTCCTGCACCTGAGAGCCACTTTTCAACTTCTTGTACAAATACAGAATTATATTTACACAGGCTTAAAAACCAAGTGTTTGTCTTTCTTGTTCTTCAGCAGGAAACAATGGAATAACAGACTCATACAGCTGATTTGCATTTTCAAGCAATAGTTTTAAATCATCACAATGAGACTGAACACTCTCAAGATTTCCTTCATTTCTCATAAGTTCTTTTATAATGTTTATTTCTCCTTTAATTTTATGAACCTTTGTCTTGAGATCCTTTTGAAGTTTCTCAATTTTATTTTGTAATGCTTTGACAGTTAATTTTGATGGTCTTTTTTCATCTTTACCGCTGACAACTGAACTTGTTTTAGATCCAGTTGACTCCATTTCTCGTTGCTTGTCTTTAACAATTCTTCTTCAGACAACGATACTCAGTGTGTGTATGTGTCCATACCTCAGTTCCAGCGGACTTGATTGCGCTGCAATGAAGGAATCTCATTCAGTTAATTGATGACGCTGATCTGCGCTTCATGCGCCATTACCGTTCCAAACTGTTCCAAGCAGAAGCGAAGAATCCAAACTTTCTTTCCATAAGCCGCTCATTCAATTGTCATTTTCTGTTGACGATAATCGTGCGGTAGAAACTAACAATTATATAGAAGGTCGCACAGGGTTAACTGGGTAGGTTGTTGCTGTCATGACGCGTGTTCTAATAACTTCAAGTGGCTCCTTTGTGTTGTTGTTACCATCAATTTATTTTATATATCAGCTTAAATACTTAAGAACTGACACATGCTGACCAGGCTAAATCATAATGATACTAACAATAAACAATATTTAACACGGTCAACAGAAATTATGACTCTCCACCCGGTGCACCCGTTTCCTTCTACATAGTGACCAGCGCGTCAGTACGGCTCTCATTCATACTAAGTGACAGTCACGCCCACTTACGACACACCCACCATTAACTGTCACAGCTGTGCCACAAATAATGCTCATTTAGGTCATTTGGCTCTTACACATTAATTAAAAATATTAAGACGAGAGCATTTTTTTTCTTTTGTCCATAAAATAATGATCTATACATACATTATCAAACATGCATTATTGTAGAAACAAATCACTTCATGGTGAAATTGTGTGTTTTTGATATTATATGAATAAAAAATTAAAGGTGGGGGGGGGGACCGAGTTGGGCCCCTTGGGGGCCCAAAGAGTCTGCTTAGTTTGCTCATGCCTGGGGCCGGCCCTGATTCAATCCAATCTAATATATTAAGAGTAAATAAAAAGAGTAACGGCAATTCCCTCTCTGCTGCATTTTATTTTGTAAGAAGGAAAGCGGAAGTTGCTTGGAACGTTTCCTGTCCCCTCCCTTATCCTCATCCTCGCTGCGTCAGTTAAGGCGTGTTCACGGATCCTGGTTCTTACTGACATTGCTGGAAGTCACGCAAAGGCTCGGACACAGGACGCGTTTGTAAACCTCTCCAGCCGCACGGTAACTACAACTTAAACGCGGAGCGCTAGGAGGGGTTGCTAACTTCCCGCTAGCTGTCGGAGTTGGTGCGTTTTAGCTGAAGCCAAACTTAATTAGCTGCTTTGACTCGGAACGCCGTGTCTTAAACTTACGGCTTCTCATTTGCAACTGTTTTTCCTTGACTTTAGACGGTTACGTAAACCCCCTTGAAGTTGGCTGCAGCTAAAAAGCAGCGTCAAGTCCGGCAATGTTTAACTTTTAGCCCAAACAAAACGTAACGCCGTGTACATGTTAAACTTGTGTGTGTGTAAGAGGCTTGTTTGATTGCATTCCCCCCTCCCTCTGCGTTGCTTCCATAACAGGAAGTGTTTGAAGGGGGCCGTGGGGCGTGTCTGTGGCTAATTGGCTCTGAGTAAGGCAGAGGAAATTCTGGTTGTGATTAACAAGACCAACTGGTAGGACTAAGAAGCCCAAACTGGTTACTGTTCGGCTGGCATTCTGTACAGCGAAAATGTCCAAACAAGCACAGGAGTTGATTTGCTGGGGGTTTTGTGGGTGGGGCGGGGCGGGGCGGGGGGGCTTTAATGAATCGATCATTGATTACTTCACTCACTCCTTGGTTTTCAAGCCCAACCGAGGCCTTGAGTTGATCTGCTGTGTTTGTTTCATTGTCGACAGAAGATGTTCTTTCTCAAAAAGGTTGTCGGTGGCATCGTTGACGTTGTCAGGTGAGAATCTGAAGGATGTGGACTTGAGAGCTGTTTGCGGTGCTGACAGTCATGTTCTTCTCTGGTCTTTTTGCAGCAACATTGACCCCGAGCAGTTTGCGCCCTCAAATCCTGTAAGTGAATCATCCACATCTGCTGGGGATGCACCCAACAATTTCCATGCGTTTCCTCATGCTTAAGGACTTTAATGTATAAAAGATGAATATAAGAGGTTTGTGCATCAAAATGTGCAAAACCTTTGCGTGATTTTATTTTATTTTTTTAAGTTTTTTTTTTTTTTTTTTACTCAAATTACACAATGTTGATAAAAATTGTGAGTTTTAGCTCTCAAACTGAAGAAGATAATTATTCAGCATTTGACCTGCTGGTCACTGATCAGAGCCAATCAAGGGAGTCTGTTTCTGGCTGCCCGATTGGCGCTTTTCTAACCTGCGCCGTGTCTCCGTCCCACAGCCACCTCCGCGCCGGCCAGCCGTGTACGCAGAGCAGCATGAAAACGATGAGGAGAAACAGTTCCGCAGAGTCTTCCAGCAGCTCGCTGGAGACGTGAGCGTCTCTTCTTTCTTTCTTTTCTATTTTCTTTGTTACACCTCGACAACACCGTCTGCTTCTGTTTCTCGCAGGACATGGAGGTGAGCCCAAATGAGCTGATGAACATCCTGAACCGGATCATCTCAAAGCGTAAGCGCCGCTCCCATTCGTTGCATGCAAAGCTCTCATCTCTCTCTCTCTGTGTTCACTTTGGCTCTCCAGACCTCTCTTGTAACGATGGTCTAAACAGTTCATTTGTGCGTCAGAGAATCCGTCCCTTAAAAGATTTTTGTCCAACGATCATTTACTCTTGTTTCAGATGGAGACCTGAAGACGGATGGCTTCAGCATCGAATCCTGCAGGAGCATGGTGGCTGTCATGGACGTATCCTTTCTGTCACGTGTCATCTGTAAATATTAACGGATGTAGTTGGTTTTCTAGAAATACAACTTGGACTAATAAGAAGTCGCAAGGTTGAAGCTAGAGAACTTTGGGACTTTCTGCTTGATTTTCTTAACACCTTTTCAGTCGGACAGCACCGGGAAACTTGGCTTCCATGAATTCAAACACCTGTGGAACAACATAAAGAAATGGCAGGTAGGTGCAGCACAGTTTGTTGGACACAAAGGAATGCAGCAGAGATGCACTCTGTGTCAGCTAATTTGAATGAACGGCGTGCCAAAGTCCTCGTTGATTTAAATTCGTTTTGAATACAGATCTGAGATGATCCCAGCTACCAGAGCAGATGGCTGCTTTTCCTAGACATGTCTGGATTAAAGCCAGACATGTCTCATTCCGTTTTGGTTCCGAGACGTCTTTCTACTCTTTCTAGGTTGAGCCGACTAACCAGGGAACCCCTCTGGCATAACTGCTCTGAATATTTGTGTTGTTCCCGTTTAGGGCGTGTACAAGCAGTATGACGCAGACCACTCGGGTGTCATCGGTGCAGATGAGCTGCCGAACGCGTTCAGAGCTGCAGGTGAGGATTCTCCTTCCCTGTCCATGAAAACATGCATACGCCCTATTGCTTTCCTCCATGTTGGGATTTTATTTTTGTCCCTTCCTGGGGCATAAATGTGTGACACTTTTTAGACTTAAAAATAACTTTCATAAATACAATATGAAGACGTATTTTAAAATGTTAATTTAGTTTGGTTTATATGTTGCTGAACGCATGTTTCAAAGAAATTTGATGGTGGTTGGAGATCCTCTGCTTTCTCCCAGTGCTATCTAGAATCAACCAATCAGAGCCAGGAGGAGGGTCTCAGCACTGTCTATAATGCTTGTGCAGTGCTGCTCACCAATGCTGATGCATGAAATATATAAAACAAATGAACAGCAGAGGCTTCATGTGAAATTCCCGTGCGTTGGTCTAATCTATGCGTCTCCTCCTGCAGGGTTCCCCCTCAACGACCAGCTGTTCCAGATGATCATCCGCAGGTATAGCGACGAAAGCGGCAACATGGACTTTGACAACTACATCGGCTGCCTCGTGAGGCTGGATGCGATGTGTCGTAAGTGGATCGGAGCCGATCGTCTGAGGGTTAGTGGCTTTGAGTCGTCATGTTGAAGCTTTATTTGCTCTGCTGCAGGGGCCTTCCAAACCCTGGACAAAGACAAAAACGGGACTATCAAAGTGAACGTTCAAGAGGTAATGGAATCAAAAATATCAGTGGATTCAAGTGTTGTAGTTCATTGACTTCATTACATGTTTGTTATTGCAGTGGCTTCAGTTGACCATGTACTCCTGAGTCCTGGTGATGCCGCCCTCTTCCTCCCCGACTGGTTTTTCCTGAAATGACTCCACTCTTTATCTAAGCAATCCAAAAATATTTTATCTACACGTTCCCACAGCTTCCTGTGTTCCTCAGACGTTAGGAGCGCATGCATGCAGCTTTTTCTCTGAGTAACGCATGTAGGTCAAACCTGCGAGCAGAAAGGTCTCCATACCTAAAATGAATTGTTCTGAGACGGTCAGACGTGTGGTAGAAGGTTGGCAGTCATGCTATGAAAAATGTACATTTTGCAAGATAACTGTGCACTTTTTATTTTTTCCTTGCAATCAAATTTCCTTTTTTATATCCATAAAAGCTTTTTATCACGTCTCTGGTGCTGTTGGTGAAAATAAGTGAGCAAAGTGAAGTGACTGCTTGGTTCAGCTTTGCCTGCTTATTTCTACAAGTTTCACCTGTTTGGATTTTTCTTTGAGCTCTCTGGGCGTGTTTCAGCCTGAGTGACAACCCCGTGTCTGCTGCTGCCACTACTGCTTCGCTTTTGTTTTTTTTGTTGGACCTGCTGGGTGTGGGAGGTTGAATGAATACTGCAACCTTGACCTGACAAATTCCTGAAAATGCTCTATTGAACCTCACCCTCGCCACCATAGCTAACAACATCCACTACTAAGTCGGTGTGTACAGCATGCAGGTCTCTAAGAACACTGGTGTAGTCAGATTTTTTCGACTTTGCATTTGCGAAACCGGCTTTAAGTGTAGTAACCACCAGTTTGTAGTTAGACAACAGTGAGGTGATGAAATTAAACTCTTTTAATCTATGCCAAACTTACTTTAATACCCCTCAACCCATTGACTGTTTTTTAGTCCAACAGTTCAACTTTTTATTGTAAATATCTGCTGCAACTGTCCTCTTATGTCACTAAGGAATGAGACAATCTGTGAAAAAAAAAAATCAAGCTCCTCTATCTGCTCCCAGTACAATCTAAAAACCAATCAGAGCCAGGAGGAGAGTCTTAGCGCCATCTATCACCGCTCTCATTATGCTGCAAACTAGCGCATGCTGTTCTTAAAGCTTATGTCAACTAGCATGGCCACCAATCTTTCTCATAATGCACGGTCACGCCATGGTGACAGTTTTAACATTTTTCATAATTTACATACAGAACCTAAAAGAAATTGGTGAAAGCTAACACATTCTTAATGTGACATTCTAATTGTTTTGCACAGCCCCTGTCAAGATGACCTCAAACTTTCCTCTAAAGTGAGATAATCTAGTATCGCATGCCTTGGTACGCAGGAGTTTAAATGTCAGTTCGGTTGAAACGGCTCATTAACGGCATACTTCCTTTCTGCTTCCTCTCACTTTACACATTACTACAACTGTAGTCAAATGTGCACCAGGTTTTGTCAGCACAAGGAATTATGCGAGTCAATTATGTGCCTCTAATGCATGCTAAAAGGTTGTTGCCATGTGGTTAGAATCCCACTCATTTAACTGTTACTGAATGTGCTGATGTCAAATAAATGCCTGTGCCATGTTTGGAATAAAACTTGCGTCCCATAGTCTTCTTTCTTTATGGCGGTTAAGTGTGTTGTAGATTGAATTATAACATTTCAAAATAAGCATTATTGAATTGGTACTCTGTTTGCCTTTATATAATGTTTATAATATTCTGGGCAGTTGACGCTTTTTCTTAATTAGATGTTTATATAAAATTAACAAATCATCGACAAACTTCAACTATACTACAAATTTTAATTAACCCCCTCCCAGAGTATCCATGGCCAACAGGAAGCTCAGTTGAATTCTGGGCGCTCCTTCAAAATAAAACACTCAAAAGCAGTGGATAAAATAGATTTTACTTGACAAAAAGACACAATTAGAAACAATAACAATACATAATCAAAGTCACAGTGAATGATAGAACATTGTCGGGTTATGTTAGAATTTCAGAAAGCTTTACTTTGGAAGCCGCTGATGTTAACCGGAAGTAATCTACAACGTTCGTGTCACGCAGACTAGCTTGACTTCCTATCCAGCAGAAAAGGAAGTTTTTTTTCCTCACGTTTCTCAATAAACTGCCTTCTTTATCTTGAAGGTAAGTCCACCGCTCAGTTAGTTGTGCTTGCGATAAGAATACGACGCGTAGACTGCGGATGCGTGCGGAAACCACGTCATTAGCTGTCAAGTAAGGAAGCTAGCCTCCAGTGCAGGGAGCTAGCTTCATGGGTTGTTGTGCAACAGAAAACGAACGCCTGCTATGTGTTTATTGTTTGTTTTGGAAGCTGCTCGGTAAGCCTCGGCGCTTCTAATCACGGAAAATAAAGACGTTTTCTTGAAACCAACCTGAGGTCCGGACGGAAAGCACACCGCCCATTGTTCCGAGCTAACGACAACGTTCAACACCCCCGTGGTTTATTCGTGCTGTCCATTAATGCATGGGAGCTTATTTAGTTAGCTGTCTGCTTTTTCACCGAGCATTTCAGCGGTCGTCGGCTTCTTTGCCGTGCAATCCACGCATGACTGCAGCTCTGCAGGATGGTTGCTCCATAAAGCTGCCCTGAAAACCAGCCAACCGTTTCTGCCTCTTCAATCCAGTCACAAAGCCGTTTCTTTGCTGTTTCACAAAAAAAACAAACATAGTCTCTAGATACACGACATTTAATGTAACATGCAGCCTGCAAGAGGAAAAAAACACGTCTGCCTGGGAAATGTTCTATAACCTGACTGTGGCATGTTGAAGCACCTTTTTAGCCTGCTCGCCTTTGAGTTACCCTCCCGCCACCATTCTGGTGACTCCGAAGACTACAAATCGCTCCTTTCACTAGTCAAGAGCGTAGTTTACAAAAGGCTCACAAAGGAGAACTTTCCCCTTTAATGCTGCGTTCCGGTTCCCTCGGAAGTCGGAACTCTCGCAGCTGGGGTTTGACGTCACACCCGAAGTAACAACGTCCCGGTTAAAGAGTCGGGATTCCGACATGGCGACGCCCGTGCGTCGTTCGCAATAACTCTTACGAGCATTATTCAATAAACAAGTAGTTGTTCATTGTAGGACCTACACGTATGCGTACTCTTACAAGAGAGAAACGCTCGTTTCAAGACGCGACCCACCGTAGTAAACGCATCACCTGTCACTTCTGTGGATCCGAGGAGCGGCCATATTGAAACGCGAAGCTGGACTGACAAGTGGTATTTGTGGTTTTACTGACGTTTGAGTTGCTCCCACTTTCCCAGTGGGAAGTCTTTCAACTTTAGAGGGTGTTACAGTTGAATTTTCTGACTTTGAAATGCAACTGGAACGCAACATTAGAAATGGATTTGTATGGAAGACAATAAAAGTCAATAAAAGAAAGAAAATAATTCTGACTTTAACTTCATAATATTAATCCTGATGAAAATTGACACTTTGGAGCAACCGGTGACAGAGATTTGAGTTGTGCAGGAGGAGAAATGGCTTTCTGGTCAGAATTGATTTTCTTTTATTGGCCCTATTTGTTTTCCGTACTTCTGTTACCACAGTATAAACAGGACAATGATGCTTTTAGGTATGGGGGATTTCTCTCACTGTATGTAACCACACGTCTAGACTGGAGCAACTGTGGCACAAAAACAACTCTTAGTAGGCAGCATCATGCTCTGGGATTTGTTCAGCTGGAGCAGGGATTGAAATTACAAACAGTTCAAAGGTGATGTCAGTTTTTGTAAGAAACTTTCAGCTGTGTCTTAGAATGCTGAAGATAATGGGACACCGAAATGTTTCGTTGTCACAATGAGTCGAAGCTTTATGCATCCAAACCCAGAGACAGATTTTGACAGTTTTTGTTTTTAAGTGTGAATTGTTCAGAATATGTCACATGAAAGGTTTGTCATTTTATATAAATCACAAATTGGCATTTTCTTCTCCTTGGCTGTCCAGCAGACTGTAGCCGCTGGGGAAGCCTTACATAGGCCAAGCAGCAGCTGGAGTTATTAGGACGGGGTGGACAGGATGTCTTCTCCGGTGTACTACAACCACGACAGCGCTGTCCGCTTCAAGAAGAGAAAAGCTCGTTTTTCTTTCAGCGAAGTCCACGTCCTGCTGGACGAAGTGAGGAAGAACCGCTCGGTTGTCGTGGGTAGGTCCGTGTTGTGTCGAGGGCGTGTTTTTAGGTTCTGAAACGGCTTCCGAGCTCACGCGAATCTGTTGCTATTTTTTCTCTTTTTTCAAAGGCAAATTCAACCGAGGAATACCGACCGACTCAAAGAAGCGCACCTGGGCGGAGATTACGGCACGCGTCAACGACATTGGGGAGTGCCAACGGGAGGTCATAGAGGTCATCAAGAAATGGTCCGACCTGAAGTGCGACACCAAACGCAAAGTGGCGGCCATGCGGTCGGGGACCGTGCCCAACAGGGGACTCAACTCGCGTCTCTCCCGAGACCTCACTCAGACGGAGAAGATAGTCCTTCAGATACTGGAGATGGACGAAGACGCCCAGAGCACCGGAGAGTGCGGCCCGCTGGGGGACGACGACGACGTTCCCGAGGAAGAGGAGGAGATGGAAGAGGAGGACATGATGGGAATGCAGAGTTCTCCTAACGGCGGGGGGGACGCGTCGTCCATGCCGCCGCCAACTTCCTACGGTATGAACGACCTCAGGAGTTCATCTGGAAAAGATTAAATTTAAGCAGAGAGAGAAAAAAAAAGAAAAGTCAAAACTTTTTCACGTCACCTTCATCAGAAAGCGTTCAAGTCACAGCTGAAGGGTTTGGCAGACGCACAAATGCTTTGTGATTTGAGGTTTTCAGGAAATTTTTAAAATCTCAAAAAAGATTTGAGATTTTAAAATCTCAAATTTTAACAATATGTAGTTCCTCAGATCTAACTGAGGAACGATTAAAGCATTTAAAAAAAGTAGAAACTTTTAACAACACATCAAAGTTACGAGAGCAGTGAACAATTAAAATATGATTAATTTATGCATATTTGATTCTAATCTTTGCAAATCTCTCTATTATGTTTAATGGTGACCAATATTTGTTATTTTGATACTTGGAATCTGATGAGTTTATTGGTTTCTCGTTCTCCATGTCATTAACTAGAGATTATTTTAGTAATTCATTCCTCTAGTGACTAATCAGATAAAAAAATTTGCACATTTTGCAGATTTTTCTTTTAGCCACTTTTTAAAATGCAACTTTCCAAATATATTAAAACACACTTTACATCAGACAAGTAATTTTATTTGTTTTTTCAATAAGAAAAGTAATATTTTACTGCCAAAAATGCAACAACACATAATTGCTTTACAGTGTAGTGCTGATCTGTTGATTATTTTTCCTATCAACTAATTAGTAATAGTTAGGAGTAGAAGTAGATTCTTTTTTTTTCTATTTGCAAAATTTGAATTGATTGAAGCTAAAACTGCCACCTGAGTTCTGGATAGAATATATTTACAGAAAGGTCTCTTTTTTTAAATGATTTTAAATACAAAATGTATGTATTTGTACAGTTTTGGCTTATTTACTACTCTGGGTGTGTTGTTCTTTCAGCAAATGGCTTTGTTTTTTATCTGATTACCAAATTAGTTGATTATTTCAATAAAGTTAATACAATTAATCGTTTCAGCAATAGTTTATTGTGGATTCTCTCAGTGAAGGTAGAGGAGCGATGCTGCGATGACGTCCTGACGCCGGAGTTTCAGAAAGAGCGGGAGTTTTTTAAAGAGACAGAGGCCCAATTTCAAGGCATTAAATTGAGAAGTAAAATTTCTTCAAAGCCGTGCATGAGATGCAGCAATATTATAATAGCTGAAGATAGCGGAGTTACTTGGTTGTGCTGCTATAAAGTCGCACTGTGTGTCTGGAGAACGCATAACGCTGCCCCTTTAAGGCAAGCTGTCAGCACAAAACCTTCAACAGTGACTGCCATAACTCTTGTCCATGACTTTACTTCTTTGTGAAGACGGGACTTGTTATTGGATTTTCAGCTGCTTGTTTTAAAATGCATGACAGCTGCTTTAAACCTTCTAGGGGACTCATCACAGCCAGCTTATGATATGCAGTATGAGATTCCCCCAACAGACGGTGATTAGGATTTCTCTCTTCTCTTAAACATTTAGACAACATTCAAATACAGTTTCATAATCTCCCGCTAATGAAAGGACTAACATTTCCCTTTTTTTTTTGTTTCGTTTGCAATCAAGATACCGAAACCCCATTCGGAGATTCGGATGACGACCAGAAAGAAGACGTGCTTCCCTCCAATCAGCCAGGAAAATCCGCCGAAGTGCACCAAGTGAACAACGGCGTCCACAAACACGTCCAGCCGCCGATGTCTGCCAGCGCTCCAGCTCTGGCCCCGGCTCCGGCTTCGTCGCCAGCGGCCGCGCTCCCCGCAGCAGCGCACAACTCCAGGGACAGCCTGCTGCAGACCGCCGCCCTGAGCCTGCAGGAGCAGCACGCCACCAACATGCTGCTGGAGACGGTGTCGCGCTCCCTGGAGCTGCTGGCCGAGTCGGTGCAGCAGCTGGCGGAGACGCAGCAGGAGTTTGTGCGCGAGTCGCTGCAGCTGCAGCGGGAGACGGTGCAGGTGCTCAGAGACTTCACGGGCGGAGCCATCGCCCTCATGCATGACAAACTGAATGGACGGCCGGCTTTATAACACAACCCGGAGAGGTCGGCGAGCCGCCGACACTGACTTTGTGCTTGGCCCTCAGGTGCAGGAACATGAAGTTCTGTTGGTTGGCAGGTCTGCTTACTGTACTTTATTTTGAAACTTTATTGGTGCGAACAGAAATAGGACCATAGAGTTTTTTGGGTTGTTTTGTTTTTCTTTTTAATTTGCTACTGAAGGTGGGATTCCTCTTGCCTCGTTTTTCTAAATTAAGCCTCTCTTTTGAAACTTTTACTTTAACATGATAATGGTTAAAAAAAATAAATAAAGACACTTTTAAAAGGTGGACTTTTAAGAAAAATCTTCTCGTCTTTTTGTGTGCTGTTTTTGCTGTAACCTTCCTTTGCCTCAGTGTCTGGAGATTACCACATGTACTGTAATGGTTGAGTGGCCGTCTGCACCTGACCATCATATGGTCCTTATGTCTTGGAGCTGAATAAGCTGGAATTATATGTTAAGAGTTTGTGGTTGTCTGTTTTTTTTTTATATTACACAAACACTTGAATTGAAAAGTTCCGATGAGTTCTTTTAAATATGAAATAAACCCAACATGTAGAAAACTGAACCGTGCTTGATTTTTTTTCTTCTTCTTGTTCATTTCAGGTGTGTTGACACAGGAACATCTCAAACAAACTTTCTGTTGCTGCACTCAGATAAAACCGTCCACAACACAAAACTTTCACATCATTCTCTATCAAAATGCGACATGAAATACAGAGTGAGGATGAGTATGGAAGTAAGAAGAAGAACTAAATAGATTTAGAAACGTGTAGGCCTTCAAACAGATCTATAATGTCACATATATGCCAGTAGGGGGGGCTGCAGCTCAGCTTTCTTGGCATGAAAGTCCTCATGTGGTTTGATAAGTCAGGCCATGAATCTGTTGCTTCTTGCAGATTTAGTTTCTCTTTCACCAGAGATGCTGAAGTTGGAAAGATCGCGGAGGAATTACGATCCTGTTTAAGCTTGTGCTGGGCGTCTGGGATGTGTTACGTGATTAAGCTCGACTGATGTTAAAGACCGCAGGACTGCATACAAAGATGTGATATGGAGTGGTTTAAAGTAGAAAACCGTTATGCATTCACACCGCAGACAATGTGAGCTCGGTTCTACTTTCACTGCTGTAATTTTAAGCCTGCAACACAATTTTTTGGATCCTAAAATAACTTTAGGGAAACTTATTCTGACCGTGTGAGTAGGGCTTGGGCATCATATTGTAACTATGATAACACAATAATTAAACAATGACGCTAAGTAAGCTTGCCAGTTCCTTCAAATCTTATATTTAACCTTCAAATCAGGTTTGATAGTGTTATCATTGTGAATAATCAATGTATCGATCAAATGTATCAATTGTTTAAGTTAAAATTTCAGCATTCATAGGAGGCTCCTGATTGGTCAGGGGCCCAAAGCAGCAGCTTTGTTCACGTTTGCCTTGAGCAAGCTTTGCATTTAGTGTAAACCCAGATCGATTTGGGTAAAGTTAATAAATATTCCAAAAAACACCAAGATCAATTAAAACACATCCGGGCTTATGGCATTCATGAATGCCACATTTTCATAGTTATATACAGAGAACGGTGAAGGTAAAGGGTTTCTGATTAGAGTAACTGATAGAAAAGTAAAGTGACGCAGCAAAAAAATCGATAAAACAAGGTTCACTCAAACTGCTGTAAGGTTGTTGCTTTTGACATCACTTAAGTTTTATATCAATGTTATATCAACAGTAGTTGTGATCTGATGCAGTTGAATGCCGCAGCAGTGTGTTCACTGAACAGCTCGACGAACAACCTTATCTTGAGCTGCACTCATATTCTTCTCCCAGAGGATGAGACGCAAAATAATGTCTAAATAAATATCAGAAAACGTGAAAAGCAAATCCTGGGTTTGAGTCTTTCTGCTCGTAAAACTGATAGGAAATGCTCCACCTTTGCTTGGAGTGATCAAAACAGAGCAGAAACCAGAAAACTAAGTGAAAACACACATACACACCCGCTCACGCACGCATGCAGGAAAGAAAGAGGCACAGTTAAATTGAATTGCATTGTCCATCTGCAGCCCCTTCTGCCTCTGTTAGTTAAACAGCTGTCAGGGTTGGGTCGGCGTGCCGCAGCAGGGGAGGGCGTGGGGGTCTCTAGCAGAAGTTCAACAATCTGCTGGGGTTTCCTCTGAGGCTCAGAGGCAGGAGGCTGCATTATAGTGTCTGGGCTGCAGGGGGGGTTCCGGGGGCCCAAAATGGCAGCTGTATTCACATTGTGAGCAGGTCTTTTACCTTCAATTCTTTCCGCAGCCCTTAAACCTGATCCTGAAGCCTTTCTGAAAGGGCCTTCTTCTCTGGGACTGCCTGTAAATCTCTCATCCTCTGTTCAGATTAAAATGAACTGTGCTTCGAAAATGAAATCTGAACCACTCACACTGAAATGCCTTTATATGCTGAGGTTCTGTGGCCTGTTTCACGTTATAATAAAACACAAGCTGTTGCTGACAGGCCAAATATTAAAAGTCTCTCTTCAGTCCGACCCAGATAAAGTTAGATGGCTCAGTGGAAATACTGTTCCTCCTCCATCTTGCTTACATTTTATTACGTTCCTTTAGGACTAACGCGCATATGGTGAAAAGTGGAAGGCTTTAGACACACAATGAAAGGGGGAAAAATCGATCCATCGATCTTTTCCTCAACAAGTCTGCATGGACGTTTCGTCCCCCTTCCTACTGACCTCCTGACCCCTGTGGCCTTTCATTTCTTCAGTTTTCACCCCCACCTGTTCCCATTCCCTCGTTCCTCCAGCTCCCTCTTTTATATCCCATCTGCCACTGGGGCTGCAGGAGGATAGAGCCCCGGAAAGGTGGACTGAAAGCGAGGCAATCAACTTGGACGGGATTAAATTATTGTTACGGCTCCTTTAGTGCCGCAGCAGCAGCAGCGGAGTGAATGTGTGTCTGCTGTCCAGGCAGTGAATTCAGATTAACTTACCTCATTGTTTCAGGATCAAAACAATGGAAAAGAAACATATTTGCTAAAACATTGATCATTTTGGACCTCACAGAAAACTACCAAGAAATCAGCATATATGTTCTCTAAAAGAGACAGGAAGTATTATTGTCCAGGACTTCATTGTGGTTTGCTAACAGAAAATGCTTCACAGTAGGATGATGTTCACTTGTGCTGCTCTGTGAGTGATGAGACAAACAAAACCATCTGGCTAGTCTGAAGGAGCAGGGAGGATGAGTCGCGGTGGTGGGCTTCTCTCCGAATATTCATGTACGTCGTCGCCGTGATTTTCAATGACTTATCGCGTGGACAAACTTATTGATGTGTGATCTTAATTTCTTTTTTTATGTATATATATTTAATGTAAATTTGCGCACATTTGTAGCAAAAACCCAACCGCAGCCTTGTTTGTGCTCTTTTTACTGTTAGCTTTTATAGATGACTGTGTAATTAAGACAGAAATACATAAAAACATGCTACCGATCTAAAAAGGTTTAGAACAGATTTGTTTAGGTGCTAAAGGCAGAAAAGAGGTCAAAGTTGCAGTTTCCACGCTAATATTGTTTGTGAATGATTTAGATGGAAGCATCCAGAATCTTAATGAGACAAACCAATCAACCAAATTGCCTGCATAAATTATTTGTGTCTCTACATCCGCACCCACCACCCGCACCAGACACCCACTCCACCCACCCCGCACCTCCTTTTGTCCCACAAGGCAGACGGCCGGCCCAGCCTACAGAAGCCCGACTTCTCCCCCAGGGGACCAGCGGGGGTCAGATCTGCAGCAGATACCCCTCTCATTCTGCCCCGGGGTCCTTGGGGAGAAGGATCTCCAAGCTGCCGTGCGGCTGCGGAGGAGGCAGATGCCGGCCGGTCAAAGTGATGGAAGGTCGGGGGAGAGTGTGTGGTGGGGGGCGTGGGGACGACACGACTCTTCTTAGGTTCCCATGCCCCGTGGCACACGCGTGTCACACTCACGCAGACAACAGCAGCAGTGTCCATCTGCTCCCCTCGCACAAAACCAGACACACCGCAGACCACGAGGCTCACCACGAGTTTAAAGTTGGTGTTTTTATGCGCCGCTCATGGTGAGTGAGATACATATCGGGATGAAGAATTATGACTTGTGGATCTAATGCACCACGCAGGCCTGCGAGCCTTGGTTCAGAGCTGCAAAGTGTTACAAGTGTCAGAATGACACTGCACGACATTTTCAGACCAGGAGAAAAATAGAGAAACGCATAGCTACAATATACATAAAACATACAACAATCCATGAATATCGGTTTATTATTGAAATGAGTTCAAAAAGTTTTCAGGAAACCCAAGATGTTGCACTGAGTCATTGACAGAAGAACTGAACGCTGCAAGTAAAAAAAGATAATAAAACTGACAGCAATCCCTCATACTGAGCGACAGTGGAGAGGAAGTTGCTTTTTTTTCATAGTGGGTTAATTATACTATTCTAGTATTTTATCTCAGCTATTGAGGTAGACAGGGTGTCTGCCTCACAGAGAAAAATCTACACATTTAGGCGAGGTGCATAAAATTAATCCGACTACATAAAATTTATTCTATTTAATTAATTCGTTTCCAGTTTTAATAAATTAATCACACAGTTAAAGAATGACTCCATATTGTGATTTGGCACTCTTTGCTCTCCATACAACTCAAAGACATGAAGAGTTTTTTACATGATGAAGCTGAGGAAACAAACAAATGGGTGGGTCGTCATCTAAGAGACCGTCTTGCGTCTCACTGCAGAGACATCGTGCAGCCGGCCCGGCTTTGTGCCGCAGAGCACTTCCTGGCGTTCCCCAATGACCTTTAGTCCCGCTTTCATCCCAGGACTCCCGCTCCACACGGAGCCTGAACGTTTGGCGTGTCCGAGGTGTCACTTCTCTCACGTCTCCAGCAAGTGTTGTAACTTTCTTCGCATGTGCGCGTGATGGAGGTTTTATTGTTTCTGCAGAGAAGCGTGCCAGGCTGTGAGTGGAGGAGTTGCTGGTGCGGTGGGAGGGAAGGGGAGGGCTTACTTCAGGCACGCGTCCCTTTTGACTCATTGTAACAGGAGTGGGTCCCCACACCCCACGCTCACCCAGGCGCCGCACCAAGCAAAAAAAAAAAACAAACAAAAAAAAACACCCACCATAAGGAAGGTAGAAAACACAACTTACTCTGTCAGAAATCTGGTTGCACTCCGATAAACATGACTTATTTATATATATATTTTTTTACATTATAATTTGGATCAGTTTTTTTTTCTTTATTTTTTTTACCACAGCTAATATTTCAAACTGTTCACGTGAAACATTAACTTCTCGCTTTCTATCAGCTGCCATCTTGGCGGCGCGTCAGGTCGGTGTGTTTTTGTCACATCAGGTGTGTTTACTCTGCCGCGATTCCCCCCGCGCGACAGGTGCTGCACCCGGCGAGCCCACCGCAACTCCTCCTCGGCCAATGAGAGCGCAGGCCGCCGCTGCTCTGCGGGCTCCGCTGCGCGAGACAATAGCCGAGGGGAGGGAGCCTCCAAAGCTCGAGCATGTGCCGACGATTACCATACAGCTGTT